TTTTGTTTAATTTATTATCATTATTAAACTTAAATAGAAGCATATGCAATTATATGTGCATGCAATTATCGTGCTTCGAAATGGATATATATCGTGATAATAATTCAGTAGCTTGCTTTAGTTTGTACCCTCGTGAAATTTAAATGAACTACATTTACCTGTTATGCATGATAATAAACGCAAAAATTATGTAAACAACTCTTTCAATGTCAATATCAACATCAACAATACATTTATCCCAAATTAATTAGAGTCGGTGGTAGATGAACCCAAATGAAAGATACAAAAAGGATGAAAAAATAAAAATAAAAATAAAAATAAATAGAATAGTAATAATATATATATATATATATATATATATATATATATATATATATATATAAAAGTAAAAAAGAAAGGGAAAAGAAGAAGAGGGGAAAATGAAGGGAAAAGGACTAAAAAGGGACCATCTGGAACATAGGAATAACAACGGGTCTAACCCTCCACCATGCTTATAACTTTTCTCCATTCTGTTCTAAGGCAAACCGTCCGCCAATCTATATCTCATTCCATTAAATCTTGTTTTACTACCTTCCCCCAAGTAAGTTCTGGTCTACCTCTACCTTTTTTAATGTTGAGCTCTTGGTAACAAACTTCTGTTCTTACAAGAGCATCCAGAGACCTTCTCATTACGTGCCCAAACCACCTCAGTCTATGTTCTCTCATCTTCTCAGCCACTGGTAGTACTCCTACCTTTCGTCGAATATTTTCATTTATTATCTTATCCATCCTCGTATAACCACACATCCACTTTAACATCCTCATCTCTGCTACTCCCATTTTATGCTCATGTTGCCTATGTGCTGGCCAGCATTCAGCTCCATATAGCATTGCAGGTCTTACTGCTGTTCTATAGAATTTTCCTTTTAACTTAAGGGGGATTTTGCGGTCACAGAAAAACCCAGATGCACTACGCCATTTCATCCACCCTGCTCTGATTCTATGATTTACATCCTCATCAATCTCTCCACCTTTTTGCAAAATGGAGCCCAAGTATTTAAAAACATCTTTCTTGAGTACCTCTTGACCACTTACATGCACGGGATCTTGGTCTACATCTCTTACCAAAGAAAATTCACACTTCAGATACTCAGTCTTGCTCCGACTTAATGTGAATCCTTTAGATTCCAATGTGCTTCTCCACAATTCAAGTTTTCTATTAACACCATCTTTGCTCTCATCAATAAGCACAATATCGTCTGCAAAAAGCATACACCATGACACTTCCTCTTGAATATCTTTTGTTAGTTCATCCATAACTAAGGCAGAGAGATAAGGACTTAGAGCCGACCCTTGGTGTACACCTACCGTGAAAGGGAAATAAAAACAAGAGAACTATATGTTGTGATGCGTGTACTTGTAGGGTCATTACAAAATCAGAAAAAAAGGAGAGAACTATATGTCAGGATTTTTTTCTTTATTGACTATTCCGAAAGTGACAGCCTTCTTGCTATGGAAGCATGATGACTCATGAGACTTAACTCCAATATAAATAGGCTAGAGATGGGACCTAGCTAAATACTCAAGAAAGAGTTTGTATCAATTGGGTCCACCCATCGTAGAAACCCAGGTCACACTAAGGCCTACACTATTGTCCAACTAGGTCCAATACCAATAGATGTCATAAACCCAACTCAATGTTATCATGATGGGATAATCAAAATAATAGAATTGGAATATCCATTAACTCGATGAATTTTAAAACACAAAACTAATTAATTAATATTGCTTACGTAAAGAAAAATTACTAACATTCTCTCACTTGGGCTATATTAATTAATTTAATATTATTTTGAAAATGACTCTATTAGATTAATAACTAAAAAATTATCTTACGCGGCCACAATTTTAAAAAGCAATATTCCAATTTCAATTTCAACATTTCAATATAATTCAATTCAACATAAACTCATTATAAAAACATAGAGATCAATATACTGAAAATATCATAACATATGATATGACATTCCATACTCATATAATAAGTATTACATCTTCATAAATCACGAGCCTAGTAGTGTAGTAAGAATTAGTGCTAAAATCTCATACGAGTCCAATATATCACTGTCACGAAGATCCAGGAGGAGCCCACGGTGAAGGGACCACTATCATTGAGATAAGTTAGACCAATCACAATAACATGATTGATCACTATGTCTCAACCCAAAAATTTTAGACATTGAATTTATAAATACACTTCACTTAATTCATTACCAAATCAATGTGTAACTTCGTTATATTTAAAAATCTCAACATTTTTCCCATGAATAAGGAAGTTCGGTGCGTCACCTAGACACGGTTTTGGACCATTTAGTACTTTTCCGCAGCATTCTGGAAAAACTATGGGAAATTGGTAGCTCTCAAATGCGTCACATTAACATGTTTGGTTTTAATCAATGTCAGATTGCGTCAAAAGGTAAACATAATCAACTCAAACTTTTCTAGCCAGCGTTGTAAAACCCGATTTCTCGTTGTCGTTATATTCAAGCTGGAGCACTTCATAAAACGATGTACTTGAAAAGCTTGTGTAATATTTTCATATAAAATTGCGTGAGGTACTTCCCAGTATCTTTCATTCACCGATATCGTATTTAAGCTATTTTTGGAATTGTTTCATTTATTTTTTTCCTTTTTAAAAAAGAAAAAAGATTTGTAAAATATTAAAATTTCTGAATATCTAAATGTATTTATTCATTTTTACATTATTTATTCTAAGAGAAATTAGAAATTGTTAACTACCTAGCAGAGAGCGAGTCAAACACTAAAATTGATTTTCCTAACATTTTCTACAAATTGTCTTACATGGGTGAATAACATCTAAATTGAAGAAATTAAATGGAAATCTACTATGCATCTTTGGTAGGAAGACCCCACCTTATGCCTTCTAGATGAGAATCCCGAATATGTAATGTAATATGTAAGCGCCTATCAATAAATAGTTAACGTTTTGCTTTTTGTAATATATTGTATTGATTTATAAGCTATTTCTAATAATGCAAGACTTTTTTGTATTTGATCTTTAAAATAAATTTAATTTCTTTTTAAAACTTTATTTTTACATAAAAATAAGTATATTCAATATAATGTATTCTATACATGTAGAGAAAAATAAAATCACTAATCAGACTTTTTAACCATTTTTTCAACACACTTTCTGTTATTAGACAATAACTTCATTAATAAAGAACTGAGCTAAATTATTTGATAACATTGATGTGATATTTCACCAAATAGTGAATAAAATAATAAGATAAAAGAATTTACAAACATTCATCTTAAGGAAATTGTGGTTGCATGTCCACTTTTGCACCAGAGACCCTCAACTTTCAAGTTACACTAATGAACGTTGCACAATTCCAATTCAGAACAAAGTGGGTTTAATATAGATTTATTTTAGCTTATTTGTGAGTACATAATTACTTTTTCAAAAAATAATTCTCACAAAAAGCTTTTTCTTTTTCTTTTTACAGAATACACGCTTAAACGCATATTAGGATTTGTTTGGTGTGATGTATGAGATCTGATAGTATAAACTTATACTATACGTTATGACATTTTCAGTTGTTTGGTGTGACCATCGCATAATATAAGCTTATACAGTATGATCTCCTAATACATCAAAACGATGTATAACTTAATCCGGCCTAAGAGGGAGGGATAAGGCCTGATAAGAGGTTGATGTATTAACATCGTTGGCTAGTGTAATTCTCAAAAATTAATATATTATTTTAATGTTAATATATTAAAATAAAAATTAATTTTTCAATATATTAATTTTTAAAATACTGAATATTTTTATTTTTATAAAAATTAATATCATATGACATTTTTTGAAGAATTATATAAATTCTTTATTAAAGAATATTTTTATTAAAAATTTATTTTTATCCTATATAGTATTATATAGTGCATTATCAAATACTAGATAATATTATCTTATACAATATATTATTTTATACAATACCGTACCAAACGCTGGATAGTATTAAAATTCAATCAGGTCTTATATAATCAGGCCTTATACTATCAGATGTTATACTATCAGACCTTATCCTATACTAGGTGTGACCATCGTATAGTATAAGCTTATATAACAGTATTCCTTTATACATCAAAATGATATATAACTTAATCAGACGTAGGAGTGGTGGATTAGGCCTGATAAGGGGTTGATGTATTAATATTACTTACAAGTACAATTCCCAATAACTAATATATCATTTCAATATTTATATATTAAACTAATTTTTTTAATATATTAATTTTTAAAATATTTGAAGATATTATCTTATACAATACCATACCAAACGCCGGATAATATTAAAATTTAATCAAAGATTTTATACTATGAGAACTTATCCTATAATATGCAGCAAATATCAACTTAGTGAATTCAAATTCAAAAAAGCAAGCTACCCAGCCCAAGGAAGCATAAATAGAACCTTCCCATCTGTTTCTCTGACCAATAAATGCACATTTAAATATAACGCCTTATCCTTTGAGTAAGAGTTGAAACTTCCTTTCAACTTACGCACGCACATGCATGATATGAAGTCCTTGGATCCCATTGAGCTATTGTTTTATAAATGTATAAACCAAGTTCGATTTCAGGAACAATCAAAAGCTACACATTATTATATTGATATAAAAACTTGAGATTATCAGAAGCTCAGGTAACGTTACAAATGGAATCAATTCGCAGAAAAGTCCAATACAGATGCTGCCAATCTCGCGTTGCAGAGAAGCTAGGCAGAGCAATTACTGAAGTCACTGTTATTATAATTATACACACACCATAACATTTCAAAATCCCAAAAGGCTACAAAAACTGTCAGAAAAAGGCTTCAACTTTCCATGCTTTCTTTCACTAAGCAAATCCAAATGGAAGTTCCAAATATAGTCACATGCAGCTTTTTAACCTCACTTCCATATCAGATTCAAGGCAAAATACAAAATTAAAAGAGAAAAAGAAAAAAGAAAAAGATTTTTTTTTAACATGATCGTTGGTTAATCAGATCGTGGAAGACAACGTAAACAGAAGAAACTAAATGTGAAAAATCAAAGCAACCCTTTATGGCTAATTAGATTAGATTTCGTTACTGACCACTGTTTTGTTCTGAATCAAAGAGTTCTTGCAATGCGCGATTGCTCCTTGGATTGCGCTCTGCAATTCTTCCATGGACGAAGCGTCTCCATTATACATAGCTCCGGCGACCCCCCTTTGAGAAAGAACACCGGAATGGCTCGGCGATGATCTCATCGAAGAAGGGCAACTAGAAACGCAGCTTCTCCTTCGTGGGTATCTCAGGTTTCCCGAGAATGAATGAGAAAGCACACCCATTGTCTCTTTCCTCCCCCTCTTACCAGAACCCTCTGTTTCTTTCGTAGATCTCTCTGTTTTCGTTAACAGAGACAAAACCGACGTCGTTGTACTTGTCCCCTCCATCATCATCAAATCTCCTGTTCTCTGCTGCTGTTGTTGCTGCTGTTTCTGGGAGAGTTTCTCATACAAAGGCTTCACCTTCTTCAAATACTTCCTGATAACCTCTTTGGCAGTGGCACTCATTCGCTTCACCGATGAACCAGACACATTCTCTGGGTCACGGGTTTTGGCGTTCTCCTTACGGAAAACAGAGGAGAATCTCGAGAAGGAGAAGTACTTGTGTGTCTTCTTGGGTTGGTGATCCACCTTGGTGGTGGGGTTGTGAAGGCGCTTGAACTCGTCATCCTCGGTTACAGAGCTGGGTCGAGAAGAGTCACAGTCAGGGAGGATAGCAAGGTCACTGTTGAAGGAAGATTGGGAATCGTTGGAGCTGCGAGCGGTGGTTGAGGAAGACGAGGTGCTTGAAGATGATAAGAGGAGAGTGCGAACCATGGAGATGCGTGGAGATAGGTGAAGAGGTAACAGCTGTCCCTTATAGAAGAGCTCATCGGCAGGGCACAGAGTTGTTGATGATTTGCGCGGTGAGATTGAGATCGTGAACTCGAAATCTGAGGATGAAGATGAATGACATGGTGATGGAGGAAGCGTGTATGACTTTGACTCTTTCCCTCTTCTCTTCCCCATTTCTGATCTCTTTCTGCTCTACGTCGTCATGGCCATAGAGACAGTTTTAGACCCAAACCTTGATACACACCACAACGCTACAATTTATATAAATGGTTTCCAACTTTCAACGGAGGAATGGTCAAATGAAAATTCCACCGTGGGGTGATTCTTGTACATTACCTTGTATAAATTTCCTATTAATGTTAATCACATAATGCCAAAATTGATGTAACGCTTCGTATAGTAATGTGTTGTGTGAAACGAGTATACTGTTTGGGCTTAAATAATTATGATGTACTTTGACCGGTGAAACTGAAGGCCTTCACGTGGTATAGGTGGAGTTTATGAAGTTTTTTTTTTATATATATATATAAAAATAAAAATTGAACACATCAACAAATATAAATTAACACCAAGCTTCTGGTCACTGGATCAAACATGAAGATGGGTCATGTCATGTGTTATAGATTTTGTGATTGGAGGTGTCACGTGCTTTAGACGTGAAACATGGAGGATCAAACACGTGTGAGAAAAGGGTCGGCTTCTTATTCTATGAGTGGATCTCCTTTAAGAAGGTCGATTCTCTGTGACAATTTGTTGTTTCTTAATCTAGAAAATAACAGTGGCTAAACATTGTAATTAGTGCTAAGCAGTGGGATGATTCAAATCCTAGTTGTACATTCTGAAACGACGCACTATACTACATTATTTTTCACAGAGCAGATCAGTAGTCCAATTATAGAACTGCTTTTGCGCTCATGGCTACAGTTTTTTTTTTTTTTTTTTTTGATAACATGGCTACAGTTTTTTATCAATGATTACTGAACAACAATAAGTTTGATAATTAATTGGTAGCATTGAGTAATTAAAATTACGTTGCCTTCTTCTCCAGCAGAATACAGATTGTTCTTTTTCTTTTTTCTCTCAGTTATCACTTGTCAGATGATTTGGATCGAATCTCAACGGGGCATATGCATACACAGCAGGATTCGAGGCATTACTTGTGGGGTGGCTATGAAACTTTGTTTACAAGGAATTGATTATAAAATCATCTGTGTATTAATTAGCCATGTCATCATCAAAGCTCTCTCGTGCCTGGCTTTGAAGTTTAAACTAGTTTATTACGTTATCAAAACAGCTAAATGTTTTAGATATAAAAAAAAAAAAAAATTAAACGGTTAATGATTTCTTTTTATTTTGACAAAAAAACCATTTCCAACTTTTATCAACCGTCGACAATAACGAAGGAGGTGAGTGAAATCTTAATTCAATGTTTTTCTTTGTAATATTTAATTATGGGTTTTATAAGAGTTATATAGTAGGAAAAGTGACTGGGTAATGTTATAGAAATTCGTTTTGTGTGCGTTAATTTTTTTAATTTTATTTTTGCTTTAAAAAGTGTGAGTCCCACAAAATGTTGTGTGTGTAAGAAATTTTTTGATTTCATGTGATATGATAGATGCAAATACCTTTAATTATATACTTTATTTGTTTAATTTGTTCACATTCAATTGAACACAAGTTTATAAAATTATAGCTAGAAAAATAGTGAAAAGGATAGTTCGATAAATAAGTATGAGGTCATTCCATTAAGTTTCTTATTCTTCTTCTTATCGATCTCTGTCTTTTTTCCATGTTTTATAGTGAGATTTTTAAGAGAAAAGTTCAAAAAACCGATTCTATTTTGCTTTGAATTATTTACTCCCCTATCTTTTTTCCAAATTACTTATTTCTTATGTTTTTTTTCATCCAGTTCATTTTTAACACCGTCAAAAACTTAACCAATCTATCTATTTTACCCTACTTAGAAAAAGAGAATATATTTATATGATAAAAAATAAATAAAATAAAAAATAGAAGAAAGCTTACAATATTTATAAATAAGACAAAAAAGAAAAAAAGAAAAAACAAATAACACCAATTGGAAACTTACAAGTTATAACAGTAGAAGAAAAGATTAAAAGTAAAAAAAAATAAAAATGAATTGAAGACAAAAAAGAAATTAAGAAAAACTAAGATCAAATATGTTTAAATAAAAGAATAATTAAGGACAAAAAAATAAAAAACTAAAGATGTTGGAAATTTACAAACTGATTTTTTTCTTTTTTTTGTTTTATTTTTTCTTCAATTTCTTTTAATAGTAATAGAAAAGACTAAACGTGAAAATAAAAATAAAAATATAAGAATAAAAAATATGAGATATATCTAAATCAAATAGAAGAAAATAGTATAAGGGCAAAACGGGAAATAAAAATAACAAAAAAATCAAATATATTGGAAACATACATTTTTTTTAAAATTTTTGGTCTTATTTTATATTTGTTCTTGTCTTCAGTCTATTTTCTTCTTTTTAATTTAAAGTATTTTTTTAAATTTTATTCTTTTATATCACTGTTGTAAGATTTTAATATATTTAGTTTTATTTTTTTCCCTTATTTGTCATCAGTGTATCGTCTTATTCTAAGAAAAGTAAAATATGTAGATTAGTTAAGTTTCTAACAGTGTTAAGGATGGACTTTAATGAAAAAATCATAGGGAGTAAGTGATTAAAAAATCATAAGAGTGTAAGTGAATCAAAGCAAAATTATAGAGAAATTCTTGAGATTTTCCTATTTTTAAATGCATTTTTGTGAGATTAACTCATTGCTATTTGGAATTTATTTTTTAACAATTGGCTACGAGGTCTTTCTAATAGTTAATTTTTCCTAAATTTAAAATTTCGATATTTTATGTAAGAGTATAACTCGCTTACAACATATTTTTGTACCGATTTCTTTATATATCTTTTTAATTTTTGTGTAAACAACCCATTTTGACCGGTTCATTTTATTATTATTGTTTTTTTATTTTAGTCAATTGTCGTTTGCTATTGTATCTTATAAAATTTTTTATGTAGGTAATATTAATTAATAGTTATGTTGATTATGATGATTAATCTTTTGATATTGAACTTGTTGGTAGTGGCGAAGCCAGCCGATTTCTTAAGATGGGGCTAACAAAAAATTAATCGGGACTTAACACTAAATATTGTTCAAAAATTTAGTCACGGTTATTTAACTACATTAAACATGTAACTAATTTTTAAATACAAGCTGGGCCCCACACATTATGTGACTCCGTCACTGTTTGTTGCGCAACACAATGTAAATATTGGTATTTATCTATATTTCGTGATGAGTGATACCATCAAACGAAATTTCCTCATTAAACCATGTGAGCGGTCCCATGATATGAAAGCTATAGTATTCGACATAAATTATGGAGAGGAAGACTATAGCACCAACATCAAGTATTCATCTCATTCGGCTGAAGAAATGGTTCAATCATGTATTATTTCTTCCCAAATATTTGTACGATTGTGGTGTTTTAATTATGAGATTTGTATTTGTCATTTAACATGACACAATAAATTTTTTTACACACAATATTTTGTGGGGTCCATACTTTTTGAAGAAAAAAGAAAAATAAAAAATTATGGCACGCAAAACGAATCTTTATAACATTACACAATTATTTTTCCTACAACATAACTCTTATAAAACCCTTTAATTATTATGTTTACTTCGATTCATGCGTTGAATTTGTTCTTAAAATTTTTCAATATCCTAAGATCATTATTGCATTTATGTTGGCATCGTTGCATTCTTATATCTTTTAGTCAAAACATTGAGTTTATGTTTTTATTTGTTCCTTATCACGGTAAAATGAAAATTCATGGTTATTCATCTTAAACCTTAAACACCCTTTTGACTGAGCCCATTTATTATTATTACTTATTATTATCATCGTTTCGTTAAATAAAAAATAACTATAATAATGATAAAAATAAAAATAAAAAACACGATGAAGACTGAAAAAAGGGGGAAAAGTTGAATTCTTAACCTTTGTTTCTAATAGGCGAAATTGCTAAACTAAGTTCTCTACTTCTCATCAAATACGTGGTTATAATTTAGGGAAATACTACTCTCATTTTATATGAGGTAGTTATCTCCTTTTCTCTCACTTCAAAAATCGTGTTTTTTTGTTTTTGTTTTTAATAGCGGACCCTACTTGAATTCTCTCTGTAGCATGAGAGAACTACTCTCATGTTACATGAGAGTAATATTACCCTATAATTTATGCATTCTCTCTTCTTGTGGTTGCTTTTATTGGCAAAAAATATATATTATTATTTAAATAAAAAAATATGAAAATATAGTATTTTAGAATCAATTTACGGATTTATAGCAATTAGTCGATCCCAGGTAGGCGTGACTTTCCCTGATTGGAAGTAAATTGAAAAAAATGATAATTTTAAGGGAAAAGTTCACTAATGCTCCTGTGGTTTGCTTCAGAATCACCTATGTCCCTGCGGTTTTTTTCTATCACATATGCTCATGTGGTTTGCAGAATAATATGTTTTTTTATCACATATGCCCCTGTGATTTTTTATTTTTTACAAAGCACAGTGGGGGTGTTCGCGGTCTGGATTGGATCGGTTTTGGAAGCAAAATTTATCCGATCCAATCCCTTCGGTTTGATCATATAATCATCAATTCGGTTTGAATTTTTTTTCAAATCCGATCCGATCCAATCCAATTTTTTTCGGTTTGGATTGGATCGGTTTTCGGTTTTTTGAAAATCCTAATATTTATTTCATGATTGTTGTGCAAATAACATCTTTTGTATATATTGGCTTTGTAATTTTATTTTTATTTTTTAAATACAAAAGTATTAGTAAACTATAATATAATTTATTTTTTTTGGCAATGAGATATGAAGCTATAAAGATAAAATTGTGTTGATAAAATATGACTAGATTTTTTCTTGGGTTTAGTTGATGGGTTGATGAGTCTTGAGTTTAGAAATTTTTAGGCTATGATTAGGGAAAGATCAAATAGGTAGAGGAGATTAGGGAAAGACTCAAATAGATAGAGGAGAATTAATATATTGGATCAGTTTTCATCAACCCATCAAAAAACCGATCCAATCCAATTAAAATTTGCGGTTTTTTTTTTCGATTTTTTGATTTTCGGTTTATTCAGTTATCGATTTTTCGGTTCGGTTACTGCGGTTTGAATCGGTTGATGAACACCCCTGGCACAGGGGCATATGTGATAAAAAAAGTTCATAGGAACATAGGTGATTCTGAAGCAAATCGCAAGGGCATTGGTGAACTTTTCTCTAATTTTAATAGTAGAAAACTAGCTAATTTTCTTAATTCTCTTATTGATTTACTTTGATATTAGTTAGTGATTAAAATAGAATCGAAAAAATGTTATACTCCTGAATCAAATCAAATTAAAAGAAAATTTAACTGATTGATTGTCCGCTTCTTTATTTTCTCCTTGATTATTGTTACAGTTAAAAATCATTAGGTACTATCATGAACTGTGAGTGAAGTATGTAAGTGACTATGCATCCACCAGCATTGATAACTTCCAAAGGAAGCCCAAAGAGGTTCAATCCTTGATGTATTTGATGCTACAAAAGATTGAGGAGTTGCAGGAAAGTATTATCAACGAGTATGGTGTTAGTTAGACTACATTTCATTAGAAACTGGCTATTGTTGACTGAGCACAAATAATACAAATTCTGCAAAAAATAAAACAAAATATTTTGATGCATTTGTCATTTGCACAGACTTGGGTTGGGCCGGCAAAGAGGGCCATTCGGAAACAAAGCAGGGTGAGTAGGTGGATCTGGTTGGCCTCCAACATTTAAAACGAGGATAATGCGTGCCGAGTTAGACGTGTTCTATATCTGTTGCTCCGGATCTTAATATTTCTAAGACACGCTCACACGCTACGCTATTTTTTTTTTGTTCATCCCTTTTTCAAAACCCTTCCAATTCCAATTTCTAAACATTGACCTAAATTATATCACCACGATTTGCTCTGCTGCTCAATCAGGTTGGCTTACCACGTCTATTCTCATTTAATTACTTTAGGTTTTCGTCATCGTTTATTTTCATGACTTATGTTCGACAACATGTGCGCAATTATACAAATTCAATCATCTAATTATGTAATTTTTGATTCTCTGCGCCATCAGATGCTGAAATTGCCTAGAAATTGTGTGTTTTGTGGTTTGGTTTGGCAAGACAAACTGGGTTTTTCATGCCCTGGACTTTTATGTACCAAATATCATTTTTTTTTTCTCTTGCTAAATTTTACCATGCGAATGCAAAATATCCTCGGATCGATGTTTCTTAGATCGAGATCAACCGTAGATCTTGTTCCTTTTGGACTTTAAGATTCAAAACTAGTTGGTGGCGTGCCGATGATGAAATTGGAATTTAATTATAGAGGGGGCTTATGGTAGAATACGAGATCATGTGAATATAAAATAATAAAATCGGTGATCGATAAACAAGTGATTCATTATGTTTTGCAGGAATTATGTCTTTTGCACGGAATTTGCAAACAGAAGGACTTAATCTACATGGTGGTTATTGGTCCAACTTTGACGGAAATAACTTCAACAATGGCAACAGGAAAAGAAGCAGGAACAATAATTGTTACTGGAATTATAACATTCAAAATAACTACTTGGTGGAACATGTTGGCAATTCTAATTTTTACAGCTTTGGTCCTACTAATTATGTTAAATATGATGATGTCCCATCATCTTTGAAAAGGAGAAAATATTCAGCTCCTGCTCGGGAAGACAGCCGGAAATACTATCTTCCATCTACTCTCCAAGACAATATCCCTTCATTCCATAACTTTCAAGCCCCTCCTACAAGATGCAATGCTGATACCTCTATATCACCTAGCTGCAAGCTTGATTGTTCTATATTTGAAGATGATGAGCCAGTCTTTATGTCAAGGGACGAGATTGATAGATGCTCTCCATCAAGAAAAGATGGTATTGATGTACTTCATGAGACACACTTGCGGTTCTCCTATTGTGCCTTCCTTCAGAATCTTGGAATGCGGCTTGAGTTGTAAGATTCACGTTACGTGACAATTTTTTTAAATGAGCATTACTGGTTATATGCTTATGATATTGATAGTTGTGAATACAATTCATTGTTTGATAGTGTTTTGTACCAGTGTAAAGTTTGACATGTTCCTTTGCAGGCCTCAAAGCACCATTGGGACAGCCATGGTTCTGTGCCACCGTTTTTTTGTTCGACGATCACATGCTTGCCACGACAGATTTGTGAGTTTCTAATTGTCCTCTAACTATGAATACCTACTTTATTTTTTTCTAAACACTTCAGTCACAAAAGCCGCAATATGTTCATGGAATTTGTCATACTTTTATAGAAGTGGACATAGATTATATTGTCGGTCTGCTATCGGTGGTGTGTCCTATTGCTTACGTATTTTGTCTAAACAAATTGTGCAGCGACATTTGGTGTTTCATGTTTGTTCATTCAAGTTGCGTCTCTATAGTTAAGCTGTGATTTAATTAATTTTAATCTTGTTCTGTTGCAGTTGATTGCTACTGCTGCTGTTTTTCTTGCTGGAAAGTCAGAGGAAACACTGCGTCCTTTGAATAATGTGTTGCGAGCATCCAGTGAAATCTTACATAAACAAGATTTTACTTTGTTGTCCTTTCTGCTTCCTGTTGTGAGTAGACTTCAAACTATGCAGATTTTCTTACTTCTTATGGTAACATATTGCCTGTTGAAGACGTGTTAAAAAAGAAGCACCCAATAATAGAATCTTTATCAATTTGTATGTATATATGCCAGATATGTCTATATTTATATTGGCTTGATTTTTTTCACAGGATTGGTTTGAAAAGTATCATGACCGGGTGCTTGAGGCTGAGCAGTTGTTGCTTACTACTCTAAATTTTGAACTCAACGTGCAGCATCCGTATGCACCTCTTACATCTGTCCTTAACAAATTAGGCCTATCAAAGACTGTTTTGATGAATCTGGCATTAAACTTGGTCAGCGAAGGGTGAGCTTTTCTTATTTATTGGATCTTATACTTCTACAATTGCAGCAATATGTTTGATTGTCTGTTCTGATCATTTTGTGGACCAAATTTGTCCCTAAAGTTATACACCTTCATTCCTTCAACCTGTTTTTGTTTCCATGTGTATGTATTGTTCCAACCTGATGTCCTCTTCAGACATCCTTTTTGTTCTCTTGTTATCTAACACAGAGTGATTGGCCTGAAAAAGTTAGACTAGGAAACAGGATATGGGGCATTGGGATGTTAAATCTCAAGCAGTAACGCATGTTGTTGAGGTCTGAAGAGCTAGTAGCTGTGGAAGATACCTTGGTGTCTGACTCCCCTTCTAATTTTTGGTTCAAGATTGTGTTGATTCTCTCAATATTTTTCTTTAGAGCAACTGCTCTGTGTAGTTATTCTGTCATGGGATATTGATTCTTTTGGCATGCATATAATTGCAGGATCTTCACAAGATTAGCGTGCTGGCCTGTATGATATTCTTAGCTGGCGGGTTGATATGCTGTTCATGGAACCTTTTGTTTTACATCTGAAGTTGAACTGCTGATGTCTAATGGATTGCTTTACCCTGAATAAGTGAATATGTCCCACCAACCTTTATTTTGGCTATTCAAATAGCTACTACAATTCCTCCAAACCAGATTTTTTACCAAACCCTCAATGCTTTGTGGTTTGTGTTGATGACCTTTATCCAAGTGGGTTATCTTTGCATTTTAATATCATGGATGGAAAGAAGGTCAAGGAATTGATCTGACAAATAAAAACCAACACTGAAATAGTTTCTGAGATTCAGATATGGACCGAGTCTTCAATTTTCCCAAAAAAGAAACATTTAATTTGTGAAAATGGGACCTTTGGAGGGAAGCTGATATCTTGTCTCTTCCCTTCAGCTTCTGATTCTTTTTTACTAAACATATCCCCTCTGTTGGCACTGGGTTTTTGTTTATTTTATTTTTTTCTCAAATGCAAGGAAGCTTTTCATCTTGTTTATTAATTGATTTTTTGTTTTCAAGGAAAGCTGCTGTCTGGGTTTAATTTGCTGAGGAAATCCTTTTATTTTAAACTGTTTCCTTTATGGGTTTTGTGGAGAAGATTTTTGGGTTTGTGGACCTGAACTGCTGCCAAAATTATTTATTTTGTTTTAAATCCTAAATGGAGAACTATTAGATTACATGTATATATATTGCCTTTGAAGTAGATGTCAAAATCCTAGACACTTGACTGTATCAATTAATGAATTTTTCCTTTCAAGTAATTTCCTGAATTTTGGAGGATGATGCCTTATCCCCCATCTTTGTATTCTGTCTTTCTCAGTCATAAATTTACTTCAATTTTTTTCTATTGTTTTGGGCACTAATTTTCAACTAATTTTTCTCAGTCATAAAATTACTTCAACTTTTTATCAACTGTTTAGTCATGTTTTATAAAACAAAAAAGTCAATTCATCGTTTCTTTTATCTCGGTCAAATGTTTTGGGCACTAATTTTTCAAGAAATCAATATACTTTTCCTAAGATAGTGTCCATTTCCATTTAAAAACATCAGCAAATGCGTGTTGCAATTTTCTTTTTGGTTTAAAACATTCGATCCAGAAAAGTTGCAGCCAACTTATTTGAGTTTTATACTTCACTTCAGCCTCCCCAATTTATGATGCACTTTTTGTAGATTCGAACATTATATTGAGGCAGGTTCATCTTTGCCTTTCATTCTTGACATTGTTTGATATCTTATGTTTTTTTCTTTAGTTTGAAGCCTTAGTTCTTTGATGTCCATACTGGTTGGAGTATTGGTAGGTTAGTGTCTTAACTAGGGACTTAGGTTAAGGAAGCCTCCATTCTGGTTAGAGATGGCAAAGCGGGTTGCCCGCCTTGCCTTTGAAGGTGGGCAAGAAAACTCAGCCTGTGACATTTTACACTAAATTTTTTTTTTAAAAAAAATTCCAGCCCAGGCGGGCGGGCGGACTTGGCGGGCGGCGGGTTTGAAAAACTCAGCCCGCCCCGCCCCGTTTGGCGGGCGGGGGGTGCTGAGCCCGTTTTGCCATCTCTAATTCTGGTGGTGGATACCTGTCTTTTATATATTTCTGTCCTAGTGTCTTCCATAGATGCCTTCTTGGAAGTAAACTACTGTGTCCGTCATTGACCTGCAAGTCTGTACTAAAATTATCAAGAATTTTTTTTTCTATACAATATTAATTTTTCTTTTTGGGAAAGGAAAGGATAACTCAATTTCCCCCCATCTTTTAATACTGTATATTGTGTAATGATGCTTAAACTTGCAATTTGTGCCTGCAATATGGACATCGGTAGAGGATTTCGTGAGTTAATATGTAGCGCAGAATAAGATGCCTTCATCCTAACTATTCCAGTGTTCATGTTAGCAAGGCTGTCCTGATAAAAAATGTTGAGCAGAAGATGAGGCATTGGCATTAGCTTTAAAAGATTCAATTGTTTGCAATGTGCAGCTCCCCATGAATGCTTAATTGCATAAATTTCTGGAGTTTAAATTCCCCACACCAGATTTGGGCCTGGAAATATGAACTTTTCTCTAGATGAGTATAAGATAATGCTATAGTTTGGTACTTTATCAGCAATCCTGCAGAGATTATTGGAATATTATTCTTCCTGGGTTGCTGCTTTTCTTGTTGGTAAGGGAAAGCTAATAAATTTGTGTTTATCACTTGGAATGAATGTTGAATTCTGTATGCATTATCTTGTTTATAGTACTGCTCATTTCATTAGATGACATGATCTCTGGCATGGTGAGAACATATGCTAAGTTGTACAACAATCTTCTTCTGTTACTGTTGCCTCAGATGGTTAGTTTGACTATTTACATATCTCTGAATTTATGTTGAGAGATGCTGCCCGTAATGATGTGTCTTGTATGGTCTTCTGAAGCTGAAAAATGTTGTTTTGCAGGCTTTGGAGCTCTCTATGGCTTCAGTTCAAACCCCATCATATTGCTGCTGGAGCTGCATATCTTGCTTCGAAGTTTCTAAACATGGATCTTACTACTAACCAGAATATTTGGCAAGAGTTTCAGGCAACACCATCTATTCTTCAAGGTACCCCCCTCCCTCTCTTTTCTCCCTTCCTCCTTTTTTGATCAAGGAACAATGTTGAATTTATACTGTTTTGATTCTGAAATCGTTAATTCATTAGCAATGGATAAATTTTTACTGTTTCTCGTAAATTTTTTTTTTAGCCTAATCATTTGAAACTTGAAATCTAGTCCTAGTTTTAATGTTGATATAAAAATACAGGTTTACAGCTTCTCAGAAGAGTTATCTTGAAAATATGCGACTGGACTTATATGTTTTAAAGAGTAATGTCACATAACCATTAACAAATGGCCAAATTTTTTGACATAATAGTTTTCTTAGATTCAAGGGTGATTGTTGGATGGAAAGAATAAAGTGGCAGGACCACTTACCCATCCTTGAGTTAACATGTATGCTAAATTATTTTGTCAAATTTTTTGGTTGTCTAGCATTTTTTCTATTTTAAATTCATCTTTTATTAGTATTTAATACTGATTGTCACTTTAATGCAGATGTCTCGCAGCAATTAATGGAGCTCTTCTAATGGTATAAAGAGCTAGATTATAGTGGCCTGCTAAGGACAGAGTAGATTTGGTGCCTTGTGTATTCAATTCCAAAAATATCTAAAAGGTAGCCGTTACAGAGATCGTCAGTGTCGTTTATGTTATAGTTTGATATATCATTTGATGAGCTACGTGTTGAGGGGTGTGATCTACACGGTTGTGTTTTAACTCTGAATGCGATGTGTACCCCTAGTATGCATTTAGTTGATGCCTAGTGATCTCCTGTCATTGTATACCGAGTTTAGTGGAGAGGAGCCTTTACGTGCTCGCATACCAGGAATTATTCAATTTGAAAGTGCTACGGTTATGGGATTCCGAAATTGAAATTTAATCCTGTCGGCATTCGTTCATAAAGATTTGATTGGACTGAATTCATAAAATTTAGTCGCGTATACAAGTAGAGATTAATGTTTCTTAGGAGATTGATAGATGCTCTCCATCAAGAAAAGATGGTATTGATGTACTTCACGAGACACACTTGCAGTACTCCTATTGTGTCTTCCTTCAGAATCTTGGAATGCGGCTTGAGTTGTAAGATTCACTTCACATTATAAAGATTTCAATTATAAAGATAATAAAGAATAGACTTCGTAAGGCCATTTTTTTAAAGATTGTTTGATTAGATCCATTGAAGAAGAAATTGCCGTAAACAAATAGGGATTAATGTTTCTTGTTATTTTTTACACAAAAAAATATGTAGGATTTATATTTTTTATTATTTTTCCTTCTCACATGGTGTCATATATTTTTATGTGTATAGGAAATAAAATTATAATTTATAACATGAGAAACGTTAATCTAAAACAAATGTTTAATTAAAAAAGAATTTGATGCTACAAATAGAAAAATGTATAGTTTATATATAAATGCTAAACAATAGAGAATATATATATATATATATATATATATATATATATATATATATATATATATATGAGTTTGTTTTTTTTTTGCAGTTATTGCAGATAAGTTATCTGCAATAAGCTCAATACGACGTCGTTTTGGGGCGGAAATTATGGTGTTTTTGTAATTTTAATTTATTTTAGGGTTAAAATAGTCTTTATATTTATCATTTTTTAAGATTTCAATGCCAAAACGATGTCGTTTTGGGAATAAATGCAGATACCTCAGACTTTTCATGCATTAAGTAAACCCAAGTTACACGAGTGCAATCATCAATAAAAGAAACAAACCATCTATTTCCAGAAGCATGGGGGACTTTAGAAGGACCCCAAACATCATAATGAATAAGATCAAAAGGTTGAACACTCTTAGTACTACTAGAAGGAAAAGACACACGATGATGCTTAGCAAACTCACAAGCATCACAATGAAAAGACTCATCAGGCTTAGATAAAAACAATGACGGAAATAAAGACTTGAGTAAACCAAATGGAGGATGTCCCAAGCGCTTATGATGAAGCCAAATCAAAGAATCAGCAGTTGATTGACCGTCTACTCACTCGGGTTCTCGATCATGTAAGTCCTATTCACTCCATGACTTCTTTTTTTTTTCCTTCTGTTCTAACTTTGCAAAGTCTTCCTCCTCGAGTGTTTGGGTGTGTTGTCTTTGTTCATATTCATAAACAGCATCGCAGTAAGTTGGATCCTAGGGCTCTTAAATGTGTCTTCCTTGGATATGCTCCTGATAAGAAGGGCTACAAGTGTTATCACCCTGGTAGTTGGAAATTTTTTGTTTCTATGGATGTTACATTTCAGGAATCTGAGTCCTTTTTCCAAGGTCCTCATATAATTCACTAGAAGACTCATCACCTTCCTTCTTTGAATTTGAATCTTTAGTGTCTACTCCTTCACCTGAGTCAGTGTCTCTTCCTCTTGTTCCCGTTCCCAATGTGTCTATGTCTGATCCTCCTGTGACTGATCCTCCTATGACTGATACACAGCCCACATTGCCTCAGCAGCAACCTCAATCGTCTGAACCACTGGTAAGTCCTGAATCTCATATTTCTGATCATGATACTTCTGATGACTTACCCATGACTACTGATTCTGATGATTTACCCATTGCTCTTAGAAAAGGAAAAAGATATGTCCCAAGAAATCTTGTTCCTCTTGTACTCAATACCCTATCTCCCATTTTGTTTCCTCTGCTAATCTGTCTGTGCAGCACAAAAGCTTTGTTTCAGCACTAGACTCTATTGCAATCCCAAAATCAGTACATGAAGCCTTGAAATATGGGAATTGGGCTCAAGCCATGCAAGAGGAGATGAATGCATTTTGGAGAAAAATAAAACATGGGAGGTTATTGATAGACCTACTGGAAAGAAAGCAGTAGGGTGCAGATGAGTTTATGCCCTGAAATATAACTCTGATGGAACTCTTGAGAGATACAAAGCTCGATTAGTTGCCAAAGGTTACTCTCAAACCTCTGGCATTGATTATGAAGAAACATTTTCTCCAGTTGCAAAGATGAATACGGTGAGAGTTTTGTTATCCCTTGCTGCCCATTACAATTGGGATATAAACCAATTTGATGTGAAGAATGCTTTCCTCAATGGTGAGTTAGAAGAAGAAGTCTACATGGAAATTCCGCCTGGTTTTGATTCTGTGAAGGGAGAAAATAAAGTTTGTAAATTAAAAAAGGCCTTGTATGGATTGAAGCAGTCACCTCGTGCCTGGTTTGGAAAGTTTACTAAGGTTATGATGACCTTAGGATATAAACAAAGTCAAGGAGATCACACTCTTTTTTTCAAGCACTCCCAAAATGGGAAGCTTACTGTGCTCCTTGTATATGTTGATGATATTATTATCATATGTGATGATTTTGTGGAGAGACAGATTCTGCAAACACGGCTTGCCTCTGAGTTTGAAGTCAAAGACCTTGGGAAACTGAGATATTTCCTAGGGATAGAAGTAGCTCATTCGAGCAAAGGAATCTTTATCAGCCAGAGGAAATATGTTCTTGATCTTCTCAAAGAAGTAGGAAAGCTCGGGTGTAAACCCTCTAATACTCCTATTGAGCAGAATCACAAGATGTGCTATGAAGAGGAGAGTCCTCCAGTTGATAAATGACAATATCAACGGCTAGTTGGGAAATTGATATATTTGACCCATACTAGACCAGACTTAGCTTATGCTGTTAGTGTTGTCAGTCAGTTTATGCACGATCCAAAGGAGAAACATATGCAGGCAGTAGAGAGAATTCTTCAGTATCTGAAAGGTACTCCTGGTAAAGGGTTGTTATTCCGACGTGATGGCAATCTATCTTTAGAAGTCTACAGAGATGCTGATTATGCTGGATCCGTGACTGACCGTCGTTCTACCACTAGTTATTGCATGTTTCTTTGTGGTAACTTGGTGACATGGAGAAGTAAGAAACAAGATGTGGTCGCCAGATCAAGTGCAGAAGCTGAATTTCGAGCTATGACTCAAGGCATTTGTGAGTTACTGTGGTTGAAAATTGTACTTGATGATCTAAAAATAAAATGTAAGGGACCTATGAAGCTGCTATGTGATAATAAGTCCGCTATTTGTATAGCTCATAATCCAGTTCAACATGATCGGACTAAACATATTGAGGTCGACCGCCATTTCATCAAAGAGAAACTTGATAGCGGGTTGATTACCACTCCATACATTCCCACTGGGCGTCAATTAGCTGATCTATTGACAAAGGGGCTTCCTTCAGATAGATTTCAAGAACTTGCTAGCAAGCTGGGAATGATAAATATCTATTCCTCAGCTTGAGGGGGAGTGTTGTAAATAGTAATTATGTAGTCATTTATTAGTAATTATGTAGTCATTTATTTGTATTTATTTAGTCCGTTACTTGTATATTGGGCCAAGCCCATTAGGTCAAAATTAGGTCAAGAAGTCTCTATAAATAGAGACCCCTATGTACAGATTCAAATATAAATCTATAATATTTCATAACCCTTTTTCAAGTTTTGTTAAGAACCTTGAGGTCACCACCCCAAAAGCTAGCTCAAAGGGTGGGAGTGCCCTAGGCCTTATAAACCTCACATTAGTTGATCATACAACCAATGTGGGACTATATTTCTCAACACGCCCCTCAAACGAGAGCCCACTGGGCTTGAAGGGTGGACAACATACAAGTCCACCTACATGTGGAAATTCCACTACAAAGAAAGTGGGAGGCGGTGAGATTTCGAACGCTCTGATACGAACTTGAAAAAGGGTTATGAAATATTATAGATTTATATTTGAATCTGTACATAGGGGTCCTTATTTATAGAGACTTCTTGACCTAATTTTGACCTAATGAGCTTGGCCCAATATACAAGTAACGGACTAAATAAATACAAATAAATGACTACATAATTACTAATAAATGACTACATAATTACTATTTACAACACCATATAATAGTCGAAGGGGACAATTTGTCTCTCATCAATTAGGAGTGTTTGTGGTTTGAATTGGATCGATTCGAAAGCAAAAATCCTCTAATCCAAGTCCCTCAGTTT